AAAGAAAAAAACTGTTTTGCATCCATTGTACTGCTCTGGCGATCAACCTGGCCCTGCGTGTCCATTCATCACTTCTTTGAGCAACAAAAGCGATTTGTTTAGAAAACTTGTGCGCACAGAGACAACCTCAGCATCTCCGTGTACACAACGTGTTCTCAGCTGGGGGCTGCAGCTCGAGGGCTCTGGCACGGCGGGTGGCTGTTTTCCTGAGAGACGAATTGATCTTATACCCGAGGGAATGAAGGCAGTAAGGGCGTTTCTGCTGCTGTCCAAGTAAGCCCTGGTCTGTGGCGCAGGGAGGAAAGCAGCACGTTACCCATTTGTTTGACAAAGCTCAGGGCTAGGCAGAGGCACACCAGGTGAGGAGCGAAGCGAGCGGTGTGGCCTCCTCAGTGCCCAGAGACCCTGAACCCAAGTGGCATCACTGGAGCACCTGTGGGCCTTGGGGCTGTCTGTGCCAACTGCCAGGAGGCAGCGAGCCACACCTGGGGAAGGCCTCTTGGAATGAGGGGTCCTGGGGTGTTCAGCTTCCATCAGAAACAATGGGACTGTGCCTTGCCGTTAGTGCAGGGCTGAACTGTTTCTCCCCTTTTCCTTACTTCTCTCTAAACTTTTTCGCTCTGCTTCTTTGTGCTGCAACATGACTGTTCTCCGTAGCCCCAAGGTCTGGGAGAGTCCCTGCCTGTGAACTCAGGCTCCTGAGGGAACGTGCCATACCGGCTCACTGAGTCGGCCACACAGCTGCACTCAGGTGGTACTTGCACAACTGCAGTGCTGCTGATCAGGACAAAAGGACTCTGACAGGCTTTCTTCAGGTGGAAATCTCTTCTGAGCAATCTCACAAGTGAACATTATTCATTTAAGATCCCAGATACCATTGGTGCTTCAGTAACAATCTGTTTTATATGTTCTGGACTTCAGAAATTGAAACACGCTCATCAGAAATCACTGTTTTACCATGTTACTTGCTGCCAGGAGGTAGACACACCACATCAATATCGGGACAAAGAAAAGAAACAAGGAAAGGGTGTCCAATCCTGTCGAGGGCTATGACCCTTTTGTTGCACAGCACAAGGTACACTGCTTCACTGTCTGATTTCCAAGTTGTTCTTACAGCGCTGACACTATTCACTGGCTAATCTAGTCATGAGCTGCTGCTTTTCTTGATAAAAAGGGATTAGCAACTGCAGCATCTACCGTGTATACAGGACAAGATGAAATGCAAACCCTCCTCCCGCTTCTCTATAAAATATGCTGTAATAAAAGAGGGGGTGTTTCTGCTGAGTCTGTCGCATAGGACCCTATTCTTGTCTTTCTTCTAGAGCCTGCACCATCAGCAGCAGAACACAGAGCCAATGGTGTGTCCTGCCTGCCTTACAGCTCTGGTAGAGAAGTTGTGGAAGAAGAGTGAGAGATGTGAAGGCCACTTGCAGAAATTCGTGTCCCGTTGTTGTGCTTTTAAGCCTTTTTCCTTCTCCAGTGTGTTGTTTTTGGCTCTTGGTCCAGGAGCACTGCTGTGCCAGCCTTCTCAGGAGAGTCTCTGGCCTTCCTCTCCTTCAAGTATATCTGCTTTCTCAGAGTGCTTTCTGTAAGCCTTACCCTATGCATTTATTGTGGAAAAGCAGCTTATGTTTCCTCACATGCTGCTTCAGGCGCTATCTATCCATCTGGGTTGTGTTGTCCTTCAGTTATTGGTCTTCTTACAGTGATCAAGAGAACTTTTACAGATCTCCACACTTCTTGTCAAGGCAAAGAAGGTGCTGCTTTTAATCAAGGGAGAGGGCAACACAAATGCAGTCCTAAGTCACTTAAGCCAATTGTGAAGGATACAGTGTGTGCATAACTGTGGAGGACATCAGCCATTCAGTCCAGCACAGCTCAGCATCTCCAGAGCCAGAGCTCCAGAGTCCCCCTGCCCCACTCCCACCTCCTGTGCTGGCAGCCCCAAGCACACAGGAGCAGAATGCTGAGGCCAGACCTGGGGCGCTGCACAGATTGGAGCCACCAGGTGAACACAAGCCTGCAGGTACCATGCAACACTTTCTTCCAACAAAAAAGATTGATTGCATCTTGGCCTCGTCATTAAATGCACTATTATCAGAAGAAGCTGAAATAATGCATACAGTCACTTTAAAGGAAAGCAGGTTTCTTTGCGAACATGCCTATTATTTCAATAGTCCTTGAGAAGTATTTCAATAGTGGCCAGGTTGTTGCTTACTGAAATACATTTGGATTGAATACATATATATCAAGGGTTTTCTTAATTTTAGTTTGAGTTATTCCTGAAGTTCTCATTAAATTTACCATTTCTAAAGAACAGATTAAATGAAAATGGCTTTTAGAAAAATAGAGCTGGAAATTATTTTGGCCTTTCTGACCTGGAAGAGGCGATAATTTGCTGCAGCACCAGTGATTGGACATGTCTGACATTTAGGTATTCCCTCACAGTTTCAGTCCTCTGTACAGATGAACTCTGTCTGGGACAGCCTGGCAGTCAACTTTTTGTTACCGTAACATAAATGAGTAGACTATGGCTGTCTTAAGCAATCTAGGCAGCCAGCACCAATGGAAATGAAACTCTGGTAAGGGCAATGATAAGAAAAGGATGTCTATTATCCACACTAATGCTCCTAACATTTTCGAAACAGCCATTACTTGTGTCTGTCCATAATTGTCCTTGCTACAGTAACGGTGCAATCTTTCTCTCAGAACACTTACAGAAATTTCTCTCCACTGACTTTTCCAAATGTAAACAACCTATACAGCGTCTTCTAATGTAAAACAAATGTGGTAAGTAGGTCCCACATTAAAGAATCACTTTGACTGGAGTGTCTGAAATACTCAAGGGATGTATGGGTGAGTTTGAAAATGCGTTCCGTTTCCAAACTCAGTCCCGTAGAGATGTATGAGTGTCAGTAGGAGTTGTATAGTGCATTATTTCTGAGTTTGAATGGTTGCAGGAAGCAGACACAAAATAAGTTGTGGGTTTTTTGCTAATTTTAATATTTCTCAGGGCTTTTATTGCACATGAACGTGATTGTTTTTCAGTGTTGATGCTAACAGACAGTTGTCTATTTAAAAAGTGATGCATCTCCAAAATTCTCAGTTACAGCAGAGCAGCTGGAAGCCAACATCTTTATTGTCCTGCTCCCTGGTTTGTAATCCTGTCAGATAAAACATCTTGCCTAATCTCATTAGAATGGGAGTCAGTGCAAAGGCAGGATGTTGAGCACTTCAGAATGGCTGAAAGCAGTGAAGTGAAAAGCGAGTTCTCACCTCTGTGTTAAGAAACATGATGTTCACAATACCTGTGTGGTACTTATGGTGTATAACTTTATTATGCAGCGTGGAGGAAATTTAGCAAAGCCCCTGAGTGTTTTGCGTCCCAATTTTGCCAGCAGCTGAGGTGCTGGTTTCCAGAGGGCATGGAAGTGATACCATACATACAAGGAGGAGATGCAGCACCTGCAGGGAGACCAGCAGGGTCCTGCAAAGTAGCAGGAGTCCCAGAATACTGCTGTGTGCCAAAAACACAGGCTGGAAATGCTACAAAATGTGGTTTTATTGCTATGTTAGTGAGGCACTCAGCCCATTTAATGCTGGATGTTCTTCCAGTCCAATACAGGAGTGTGGCAAACCTGCAGTTGTGCAGCTCCAGGACTGAAATGCTGCGGACGCAAACTGTTTACAGATGGACTCTTACCTGCGCACATTTGTGTCCATAAAAGGAAGAGGGAGGGGGATCTCTACAAATTAGCTGCTTGAGAGGAAAACCAAATAGTCAAACTAGCAGCTTGGTAGTTCGATACTCAATTGCCTTTTGTTACAGTATTTTTCAAATAGCTGTTGCCATAACAACATAACATATTCTTCTTTTAATTTTTTTTTTTTTCTGTTTGAAAAAATATGTATATATTCTTGCCAGAATTCTTCCATAATAGCTCCATTAACTGCAGTGACTTCTATTGGTGAGGCCAGTGCTGATGTCTCCTGCTGTCACAAGTCACTCACCAGTCCAGCAGATGTTTTGTTTAGTAAGGCCAATTTGAGCTTTATAAAACATGTTGTGTTTTTTTTTTCCCATCCTCAAAGAGCAAATATCAGTAAGGATGGGATTCAGAGGCAATCATTTGCCATGAGACAAGGCATTTGGTACCTTTTGGGAGAATTTCTTCCATACAAATAAAACTGAATCGGGCCAAATTGTAAAGATTCTGCTTTAAAGTAGTGACAGTGTGCCAAATAACAAGATTTTGGCTTGTTAGGAACACACATATACCTAGCAAAAAAAAAGGAGGTGGAGGAGGAAAGGAGGCAAGAGATACAAATTCCTTAGAAGGCCAGTATTTTTTTCCCCATTCTGTAGTATCGATTTTGCTAAATTCTGCAGGTAAAATGTTGTAGATGAGAATAGTTTGGCACAGCCAAAGAAAAGTCATTGTAAAACAGTTGGAAAAAAACAGGAGGAAAGGGGTTTCTTTAAACACTGATGCTGCCCCAGAGTGCTGACAGTTTTATTTTGGATTCAAGTAATTTGCGTGACTAAGAACTAAGCACTTTTCCAGGCCATCCTCACATATGACAGTAACAAATGTGTTCAGAATATTATATTTAATAATTTGTCTACTAACATCATCTTCTTTCTGGAAACATTTTAATCGCCCATCAGTTCATCAGATTGAGCTGTCCCTCTGTATAATGGGACTTTCTATGTCTCCAGAGAGGGAAACTGAGGTACCAGCTCTTCAAATGCTGTGTGACCACAATCTTTTCTTGTTACATTTCTTCTACGCTCAAAGCATGTAACCTATGTATGGGAACTGCTGAGTCGTGGCCTGAACCTCTGATTGATCGCCTGAGGCGAGCCATGAGTCAGCCAGAGGAGCACAGGTGAAGGCAGTTCAGCTGTGCTGCCGGAAGGTCTATCTGCCTAGACCTATTTAAGAGCTAACTAGCAGTGGGGAAGGATCTCTTTTGGAGATCTGCTCTGCTGGTGCTTTGTGGGTGAGTCCAGGATAGGGGTAAGCCTTCTATTTATTCTGTTTTGTTATCATGGTCTACTTTGCCTAACTCTCTTGTTTATTTTGTGATTATAACATCCTAATAGTCTTTGATTATACACTTCTCAACAGGATCTCTAGAAATCAAAATAGACATCCTTATTTAGTTTCTGAATTGCATGTCCTTCATTTTCATCAATACTAAATATTCAGTAGATCGAGTATCAAAATTAATCATTTTTGTCAGGGTCCTTTAGTAATCAATTAGACCCATGTTTTATTGTAAACTGTCTTGTTTTTCAGGCCGTCATCATAGAATTAGAAGAGATTCTATTAATTACTTTATTGTATTTACTAAAATCCATGAGAGAATTAGAAAAATGTACTCTGTGTTATTTCTGTGCTGAACTGTCTATTGTGTTGTACTGGCCATCTGATACCAGCATCCTGCTTTTCTTGGAGAGGTGTGCAGGGATGCACATCCATGTGTGTGCACGTGTGACCATGGTTTCTTTGCACTAGGCAAAAACCACGTTTTTAAATCTGTAAAAGCGAAAGGTATTGCTAAATCATGTATTGATTTCCATATTCACTTCCAGAAATCTGCATTCACAAGAAAGGTTTAAATTAAATTCTGGAGAGGGTATCTAGGTTTGAACAAGTGTAAATGATGTTGGTACTTGATTATCTGGTAACAAGGCTTCAGTTACACTCCTGCTTTGAGGGCACATCTTCTGTGTGGTTTGTGAAGGTACCTCTCATTCCAGGTCACTTGAAGCAGCAGTCCTTAATACAACATCACAGGTCCTGGAGGTCTATTGTGAAAACTCAGAGAGGATGGTGACTTCTTCCTGTGTAGTTAAGATTTTTCTTCTTCTAGTATGTAGCTGAAAATATTTCTGTAACTGAATTAATTTCCTCCACATTCTGAAGTGTTTAAAAGCATACCCACGCTGATGTATTTCCACTTGTAAGAGAGCAGCAGGTCCGGCTTTGGCATGTCTGCTCAAGGGTCTCTTTTTGGTTCAGCAGCAGATCTGTGATGGGCTGAGGGAACTCTCCTTGATCCTACATACAAAAAGGCTGAAGCGCTGCTGCAGGCTCCTGCAATATGATGGTGATGTGAATGATGTCCATCCCCACCACTGCCTGTTGGATTTCTTTTGCTGCAGTTGGGTTGTTCAGTCTGACATCGTTTCGTGAAGACAACACATCTGCAGTTTGTAAATTGAGAGAGAGGTTCTACATGCACCTTTGTTACACCCCCTGTTGTTTGCGTGTCCATGTGAAAAATGTTAGTGAGATGTATTAAATGCACCAAGAGCAACCATCTCTTTTGCACCGCCCTGCTGCAAAGGGGGTTGAGAAGACAAACTTGAAACAAAAAGAGCTTTCATACCATGGTCCAGTGCGACAAAGTCATTGTAGGTTGCTCTTAACTACCCAGGGAACTTTCAAAATGGGCACTATTTGAACTCCAGAGCAGGGCCTATAATCTTGCTTAATAATTACTTCAAATGTGACAGTTTAATGCAGTGTAGGTATCCAAAACGATTTCTGAAATTAATAATAGACATGCTTTATAGCTTACGCGTGTCAAAAGTTATAAGACAAGTCTCATCATAGAACTTGACTATCTTAACGTGACTTTTTAAATAGTCTGACAATTTAAAACAATTACATAGCATTTTGTTCTTGCTAACTTTTAAAACAAAAAAATGTTCCATTGTGTTTATAGGGCTGACTCTGGTGAGGTGACCTCTGTGGAGGGGTTACTCTTTGAAGTTCTCCCTGAAGAGCTTCAAGGCAGCTGCGTGTTTCAGAGTGTGATTTTGTAAGGTTTTGATGCTAGAAAACTGTTTAACAAACAGCTCCAAAATATTTAGATTTTGATTAATAACACACAGTGCTGTGGTATTTAAATAATATGAAGTATGAAATCTAACATGTGGCAGAAGAGTATGTGTTCCACATGGCTAGGAGGGCAGGAATGGAAGCACACCAGTAACTGAGCCGCAGAGAAAGTTATACTAAGTCAGTTAAACTCTCCTGCCGAAATCTGTTCAACTGTTGTCTCTGCTTGTGTCAAAGTCTTTCCTCTGACGCTGTGGCTACAAGAATGCTCCTTCAGCAGCGCTTTGTTCTGCGAGAGACCACACGTTGTGGATATGCAGAGCCCTGCCCGTGACCAATGTGTGTACCCCACACACAGCAGTTTGGGGGATCAGCCCAGTGGCCCAGGACAGGGCTGTGGGAATGATACTACCAAAACCTGGGGAAAATAGTTGGATATAACATCATGGAGAGCAGTGCTCACATGGACATTGGTCATGGGGCCTCAGAACTGAGAAGTGCTTACAGTTTGACAATCTTCAGCGTTGAAACTTTGCTGACAAAAGAAGCTTTACGTGGCCAAAAGAAGGCTTACTCTGTCTGTAGGCAGTAAAATACTGCTGTGCATGATGTCTTTGCAATGAAAGGGCTTTTGCTGATGTGAAGAAATACTGAGCTGGCCTGCACTGAACGGTTTGTTTGAGAATCTCACCTCCCTTACATCCTAATTACTATTGGGATAGGATCACGTCTACTCCCACAGTAATCATATATTAGCCTTTTCTATTAGCTCTAGGATGAGAAGATAAGTTTGCATGCAAGTATTTATTTTATTAAATGAAAAAGAAGAAAGCTATCCAGCTCTGGCATTGTATACATGGCCTTATTTGCAGATATCTTTTAACCACCAGAACAGAAAAACTCAGACATTTGATTTTTATTTTGAGTCAAGCCAAAGGAAAAAGCAAAAGGTGAAAGCATTTTTTTTTCCCCAAATATTTTTTCTCTACAATAGAAACAATATGTAAATGAAATAGCTATTTACTGTGAATACATTCACACTGCAAATATGCAAGTGGTTGCTTAGCATGCTGCTGTAACGCTGTTATTGTCCAGTAGGTGAGGTGTACCTGTTATTCTTACCAATTTCCTACTTACTTAAGTGCTTATTTGTTTATTTTCATTTGTAACAGTTGGAAACAGTATACAGCTGCAGAGATACACACAACTGAGAGGACTCAAACCTGACTTTGTGAGCGTTTTCGCCTTTGATCTACCAATTCTAAGGAAACCCTACCAAATGCAGTTCTGTCAGTGATGGGGGATCTAACAAAAGGCAGACTGGGTAAAATACGAACGTACCTTTAGCTGTGCTGTACAGTCTAAAATAGACGTCGATGTTAAAGCGATTCTGTCTTCAGATCAACATAGCAAAAATGCAAAGAAAAGAGCTCATTTATCTAGCTGCACTGATCATATCTAGCCCACATTTGCGAATTGTTTAATTGTGAGTACTCCTAAGCTGATGTTACTGCATTGTGAGGATTATTTTGCAGTTGTTGGTAACAAAATTTAAAATAGTCTCCATTTAGTCTCTTTCAGAAGAGTTGAAGCTAGATGAAGTGAGAACTAAAGGTTTATGATAAAGAAAGGCCTTGTAAGCAAATGTCTTAATATGTGAGGGAACTTTTATCTACTGACTGGAGTCTTACTTCAGAGCTAGTAACAGAACTTCCTTTTCAGAGGTCATTCACCCCATCACAGAGATAATGATATGAAGAATTTCATAGAACATTTTATGAGCAGAAATGTGACTTCTTTGTGTTTGATTCTTCAGATTACTATTTTTAATCTCAGCTTGAGTCTCAAGCTTCTTAATCACAGATTATTTGAGTGAATTTCCACAAGAAATAGTACTTAGGGCTTTTGAAATCAGGACATTTTATTTCAGGTGCAGTATTTAAGTTGCACAGAGAACTTTCTACTTGTGCATGTGGGCAGATCAGGTATAGGAAGGAGGATCAAAGCCTGAGATGGCCTCGTTCCAGCTCCTTGTTCTGCACTCCAAGCAGGCTTGTCTGAAAGACACTGGACATCATTTTTTCATCTGATGGCTCATTGACCGAACTGGCAAGGCTTCCCAGTCAAACCCTTCTTAGGGTATGTGATTCACAGAGCTGGGTCCAGGCAAGTTCAGGTTTAGTGATTTGTATGCTTGTCACCCTGGAGGTGTCTTCTTTTGTTAGCAATTACAAAAGAAAACAGATCGTGTTTGTACTCTGGATATACCATTGTCTGTGATTCTCCCCACATTCAAATATTTTGCAGAGTCCTCTGCTGAGCAGCTCATGGGGTAGCTCACACTTTCAGAAGTGTGTCCCATAGTAGGGGATGGCTACAATCCTCCTGGCATGATTTATGCGTACCCTGGTTTGCATTGTAGGCGTGCAGCTTTGGCATTATGCAGCTTCCTCATCCCTTTCAGAGCTGTACCCAGACGTCTTATTAAATGTGTTTAAGGCTGAAAGTTCTAAGGAGGAGTTATTGCATCCGTTGGAATGCAAAAATCAAAAAGTTTTGCTTTTCCTCATGCCTTCCAAATACTACGTGTTCTTACTATTTTCAAGTTGTGTTCATGACTCATGGATTTTTGAGTTGTGTTGTGGTTGAACATTGAGCACATACACAGTTATTGGACCAGGAGCAGAAAATAAAAAGTAGTGACAAGGAAAATTCAGGTTGGATATCAGAAGAAGTTTCTTCACCGGAGAGGGGTTGGGCACTGGAACAGGCTCCGCAGGAAAGTGGTCATGGCACTGAGCTTGCCAGAGTTCAAGAAGTGTCTGGGCAGTGGTCTCAGACATATGGTCTGATTTTTGAGTGGAGCCAGGAGTTGTGCTTTAATGATCCTTATAAGTCCCTTCCAACTCAGGATATTCTATGATTCTAATTTTGAAATTGTTTTATAGGAAATCTCCGCTTATAACATTTCATCTCAGGTGGTGTTCCAGGTAATATTGGTATGAAATTGACCTTTGAGAAAGTATTTACTTTGTAAATTCATCTCTATATTGATTACATTTGCTCACTCCACTCTCTTATACATGAGATCTCTGAGGCAGTGGTTTTGATTCGTAGCCTATTGGGGTCTTTGGATTGTTTCTAAAGAAATCTGATAAGGACATCTGAGAAACTGTATTCATTTACAGAACATTACCTGTAATTATGGAATTAAATGCTTTTAACTCATCTTCCAGCTTTCTGAAACACTAGAGAAGCTTCCCAGATCTTTCTTTTGCAGGGTCTGAAGGTACTAAAAAGTCCTTAACATTGCCTGTTCCTCAGAAGCCCTTGCTGGGGCTGCTTCTAAAATGGCTCGATGCTTCTCAGCTGGGTGGAAGACATTTAAGCAAGTGCTAAGTGAAACAAGTGTAGGTGAGAGGTTAGGTCGTGTTCTTAATTACCTCATTCCTTTTCCAGGTTTGGGAACCTAATGCTGTATCTTGATTGTTCTGCCATTCATCCTTGCAGGTACAGGTTGGTGGAGATGGCTGCGAGTCATCCCTACAAATAGATAATGTGCTTCTTATCAAGTGCTTTACCAGCTCTGGTATTAAGGATATTTTTGTGGCTAACACAGCTGGTGTTTTGGCAGGAAGTGTACTTGTTCTTCAGTTTCAGGCCTGTGAAGGTTACCTAGCTCCTCATGTTATTGCAGCAGTGAGATTAACGATAGCACTGCTAACCATCATTTCCTTTGTTGCTGTATGCTGTTCTTAGGTATTTTGTGCTTGACAGTGCACCTCTTAAGGGAAGTGTGAGTCTTAAACTCAATGAACCCTGAGCCAAACAGCATTTCAGTCTTGTCTGATACTGGCAATATACCAAGTGCAAAATGAACGGGGGGGGGGGGGGGGGGAAGCCAGAAATGACAGAATAAATGACTGAAGATCACCTCTGGCCTGAGTCAAGAGGATTTCTTTCTCTGCCTCGCAGGCAGATAGGTCTGCAGATGCTGCTGTTGCTGGCTCTCTTGAGCACATGGCCCATGAGCTCAAAAGTGAACCGAGGGAGGTCTCCTGTGTTGTCTCACAATGTCAACTCAAAACTATGCAGAATATCATTGCTGGTTTCCTACAAGAAAATGCTGAGGGTAAGTGTACTGAGATTGTATTGGGGTGGACTTTCTGTGGCTGGACATCTCTTTTGATTGTTGGATGCCTTTATAAAGTATCCTGTACTACTTCTGGGGTAGTGCAGAAGGCATTAGTCAAAATGGAAAATATCACAGATACCTGTTGTGAAGATGGTTAACTTTAGCTAAGATTTTAGTGAGAAGTATTCATGGTTTTATCCAGTGAAATAAGCAACAAAGGTGTGAGCTCCCCTTTCTGTTGTAAACTATAGGGGGCATTGAAGCAAAATTCTTAGGCATTTGTTTTCTTACATTTTTAACTGCATTTTTAAAATATAGGCTGTGAGCCTTTTTTCTTTTCTGTTCTTCAAATACTAGTTTTGCCAGTGCAAAACTCTGAAATAAAAAGGAATTAGGTCTGATTGTTTGGAAGGTAAGCTGAGAGGGGCATATGAGCGTTCTTAGCTGCACGTTTTGGGCTAAACTGCTATGGAGCCTGCTGGCATTCACTGCAGTTCTGCTTTGTCACTGTGGAGTTTTCTGGCAATTTCTGGACTCCTGGCTGGTCCTGACTGGAGTCACCAAACCTGCTTTGCTCTTCTTGCAAGCCACTCCAGATCTCTCTTAGTTCTTGAGCTTTAGTTCTGTCGTGCCAAGTGAAGCACCAATGGATATCATTTACAGATGATGTTAAAAAAAAAAAAATAAATAAAAAAAAAAATTGAATGCTAATGTCACCGATGTACTTGGTTAGCATTTTGTATGTAACTATATATTTACATATTTATATTTATATATAATTGTACAATCTTTAGATTGGGGGAGAACTCTGGGGACTAGGTTACCACGCCACTTGTATCAAACAAGGTGAAAAATACTTTTTCATATTTAGATCTCTGTTTTTGCCCTCATTTACATCATGGCACATTAAAGGTTTCCATTGTTCAAATCAACAAACATTTTTTTTTTTTTTTTTTTTAGGTTCCTAAATATTTTCACAATTTTGGTTTCCATTGGGTATTTGTCATTACTCAAATAGACTAATTGGTACCGAAGTACAGAATACGACATTTATTACTTGTGTTTTTGCAGATAGACTTCAAGCATTTATTAGAATTATTTGTTCATTATGATGCACTGCTTCAAATTAGAACCTTGACTTATTTAAACAAGGATTCTGGAATCTTTAATGTGTGTAAAAAGGTCTGGAAAGAATACTGTTGTTTCTATGAAACAGTGACATCACTGCAAACACAACTGAGTGATGATGTTTTTGCCATTTTATTCAAGATGGTCAGAGCTTATATTTGCTCAACTCCAAGATCATTTCAGAGCTGCTATCCTAAGAATCAGCTAATGTTGGAAAGAAGGCAAATTATGAATGCAGCGTGGCATAGTCATCAATAGACTACAAAATACACTTTAAAAATCATGCTTTTACAAACATGGCACAGCCTCTGCTGTAGCACTATATGCTGTAAAAGTTGCAGATACATTTTTGAAAACACTGATGAAGCCATTACTGCTCTATCCATTTGTTCATAGTATATATCATTATTCAAGAAATTTAAGAACTGTAATGATGGAAAATCACACAGGAAGAAAAGAAAAGGAACATGGACTTTGTCAGAAACAAGGGCTACATTTTTATTCAAGAGGCCTGTAATGATGGTAAATCACAGTGAAAGGCAGAGACGAAATGGGGATCCCATAAAGGACTGACACGCCACAGTGGCACAAGTAGTAGAACAGTCATAGCAAGTGGATAAAAATAAAGAAAACAAAATTAACTAGAGGAGAGCTGGACTTGGGACGAAGTGCAAAACAGAAACAAATCATGGCAAATGCTACAGATTAATTTCAAAGAATCTGCCGAGAACGAATAGAGAGACAAGTTGCATCAATATTAATGAAGCTGAAATAGAACTCCAAACGACCACAAGTGCGAAATGGCACAGAAAGCATTTTCTTTTAAATAGGTTGGAGATTGGATCACAAGACCTTCATAAATATGAAGGGAATTCGCAAAAGGCATCATTACAAGAAACGTGATAAACAATCACAGTGTAAATCTTACGGATGAACTGTAGGAAGATTAATTACCATTGTGCATATATATGTATATTTAATCCATAGCTTATAGACAAGATGTTCAGAATAGTAACAGTAAGAGTGTTTTTTGATAGCTAATTATCTATATACGTCTTAAATGAATCTTAGGCATTTTCAGGTATCAATCTTTATAAATTGTAACCACGTGTCAAGCATAGGATCTCCCTTAGCTAGGAGCAGAGCAGGTGGGTACCTCTCCTGGCAAATATTGCTCTTCCTGAAGGCACTCAGTGTCTGAGTCTGACTTTCAGCATCACAGAGATAAAATCAATGTATCTGTTTTACTTATGTAACAAATCAACCAGCTGATGGTTTTGCATCTGACGCAGCAGCGGCCATGCGCTTTCCCTTCCTCTCATAGCAGGTTATTGGTGTTACCTCAGTGCCTTCCTGCAGCCCCACAGCAGTTGTTGCTTCCACTCTGAGGCTTGTACTGCCCTGGCTGTAAATATGCTGACCTTTGCTACCTTGTAGTAAAGACGTGACGATCTGAGTAAAGCAATTAAACTACTTCGTAAGGCAGAGTTTCCATTTAAACATGAAATGGGAGTATAATGTATTGATGTAAATATATATAAAGACATAGACCAGGTTTGGCAAAAGAACAGTGCTTTGTGGGAAGCCGTGCTCTTATTTTTCTTTGGTGGGAGGCGCTGCAAGCAGCAGACCATAGTTTAACTCTGGCTGAAAATGTCTCCAGGTCTGAAACTTAGTAGTGAAATCTGTATACAAGCATCCACACTTAAATAATACTGTGGTTACATTCGAAGAAACATCAGGATTGTGAGTCTGTTAATACCTTTGAAATTGCTGTGAATTTTTGATTTGTGCTTCATCTGCAATATATACAATATATACAGTAGTGTATAGAAACACATTGTTTCCTTCAGACCTCTGAGGTGAACTAAGTAGGTCATCTGGAAGGATTTTACTCTTGGTTTATGCAGTTCTTTGTCAAGTGTGGGGGATACCTGGGTGCCTATATTTAATTCATAAATTAGGGTTACAATTTATGCTCTTATTCCTGTGTTCTGGAATAGAAAGTCACAGTAGAAGTTATGAAGTAGCTGGAAGGTCCTCTTTTGAACGCTTAAATGTAGTTGTCCTGTAGACTGTGGCTTTTGCCAGAGCAGAAGGAATTTTTTACTATTTTATGAATAATGTCTCTTAACTTTCTGCGAGTTACTCTTCTTTCCAGCCTCCAGAAAAGCAGGTAAGTAGTATTAAAGTAATAATCAGTTTTATTGGAACACTTCAGGTTATAAGAATAATAACCATGTTAAATTAAAAATCCCCGCATGATGTTCCTCAACATTTTGTTTGGTTCGCATTTTGCAGTCATTTTGCAAATTAGATGTAGTGTACAAAATTGTATAGTTTCCATTTTACTTACAAGTTTTCCAGGTAGCTCTATCAGTCTGTTCTTTCATCAAAATAGACTATCAGGCTGGAAAATAACTTAATATGCATTATGCTAGGCCCAGAATGAGATTTGTAGCTTTTACTGATAAGACATTTTTGAGCTCAGTAATCCAGATTTGTCAGTGTATTTTTGTACTGTGCTCAGTATGTGAAATGAAACAGTTACTGTAGTAGTTCTTTCATAAAGAAATGACATCACAAACGTTTTAATGCCCTAGAACAGGAACAGAAAATGTCTTTGCAAACCAGTGTAACTCTGCTGTCCTTGGATTGGACTTAGCTGCAAGCAGTTAAGAGACTAGACTAATGCCAAAGCTGATATTGGCTTTAATTATTATGCTATAATGTCTGATTCACACCTCACCCAAAAAGTCAGGTTTAGAGACAAATTGTAGGGAAAAAAGATAATGATATCTGCAGTTTCTTTCAGATACCATCCTGGGCTGCCCATAGGTTTATAGGAGACAGGTGCAGAGCTAGCCTTTTCACAGGCTTATTCCCAGTCAGCATTCTTGCTGCGTTTTCTTAATAGTTACACAAGAACAGCCTGAATTCAGAGCCGGCAATCTTGTAGGTTACAGCATCTCTTTCCATGTCACCAATACCCTTCAAGGAGTAAGGAGTATGTCGCATTCCTTCCTTGTGCTTCATAGTTCAACTACTGAGTACCATTCACTTTTCAGTGCTACCACTCCCAGCACTAAATAATATGAGGTCTGAGCTTTTTTGTAGATCACTACCTTATCTTTCCTTCTAGCAGTC